AAAAAAAAAAAGAATATGAGAAATACACTCAATTCTAAAAGCAAAACAAGCCCTTTTTTTAAAAACCACTACATATTTTAAAACTATGTATCAAAGTCCCATTAGATTGTGGTGATGGTTGGGCAACTCTATGAATATACTAAAAGCCACTGAATTATAAATAGCAACAACAAAATAAGGCCGGCACAGTGGCTCACACCTGTAATCCTAGCACTCCAGAAGGCCGAGGCGGGAGGACTGCTTGAGGTCAGGAGTTTGAGACCAGCCTGAGCAAGAGCGAGACCCTGTCTCTACTAAAAATAGAAAAAATTAGCCAGGCATGGTGGCACAAGCCTATAGTCCCAGCTACTCAGGAGGCCGAGGCAGGAAAATTGCTTGAGCCCAGGAGTGTGAGGTTGCAGTGAGCTACAATGACACCACTGCACTCTACCCAAGGTGACAGAGCAAGACTCTGTCTCAAAACAAAAAAACAAAATAAATAATAATAATTAAAATCCTACCTGCAGATATAGGACGTTTAAACATTGCTAGCAACCTTCTAGAATGATTTTTAAGTCCTCAAAAAATTCTAGCACTGCGTAAAAGGTGTAAAATTACCCACTATCTTTGATGTAAAGTCCAATTGTGAGGTTTCAACATGAGAAAATAAATGCCCACATCAGGTCCACCCTTCCACTTGTGTAATCTCATTTCTTCTCCTCTACTCAAGGACCAACTCTAGGAATTCTCCATCACTTCTGAGTATTAATTTTCTCCTCTGCAGAATTCTTCCCATCAGCATATAAACATTCAGTTATATAGCCCAACTTCAAAACAACACAGCAGTCGTAATCCCAAGTCCCTGGCTACTGTTCCTTTTCTGTTTGCCCCTTCACAGAACCTCTCAATGCAGTAGCCTATATTCCCTGTCTCCAAATCCTCTTCTACCATTCTCTCTTGACCCCATTCTCATTACACTTTCATCCCTGGAATCATCCTTAACTTTTCTTTCCCTCATATTCCACATCTGATCAAAAATCAATCAATTATACCTTCAAAATCAGATCAAAATGCAACCTATTTTTATCACTTCCACCAGTCTCCCTCTGGTCTGAGTCAGCACCACCTCTCACTTGGATTCTTTCAAGAGCCTCCCAATTGACCTCCCTACGTCTACTCTTATCCTACAAGCTTAAGAGAGCTGCCAGACTGATCCTTTTAAAAGTAAATCGGGGCCGGGGGCGGTGGCTCACGCCTATAATCCTGGCACTCTGGGAGGCCGAGGCAGGCGGATTGTTTGAGCTCAGGAGTTCGAAACCAGCCTGAGCAAGAGCGAGACCCCGTCTCTACTAAAAATAGAAAATAAATTAATCGGCCAACTAAAAATATATAGAAAAAATTAGCCGGGCATCGTGGTGGCATGCACCTGTAGTCCCAGTTACTTGGGAGGCTGAGGCAGGAGGATCACTTGAGCCCAGGAGTTCAAGGTTACAGTGAGCTATGATAATGCTACTGCAATCTAGCTCAGGCAACAGAATGAGACTCTAAGGGGAAAAAAAAAAATCTCCAAATATACTTGGTTACCACAACTTACATGACCAAGAATTATTTTTCTTTCCCAGCATCACCTGGGAACTTGTTACAAATGCAGATTCTCAGGCCCTACTTCAGACCTACTCAAATAGAAACTCTAATGGTAAAGTCTAGCAATGTATTTAACAAACCCTTTGGTTAGGAGCATCTGTTTAGACTGGTTGTTTGTCAGCCTACATTTAGCAACACCACCTTACAAATTCAACTGCTGTATTACTTTTCTAGAGAAAAATTTCTACTTTAACATGTACATATTAATATTTATAAAACACATTGAGTACCCTGGATGTATAGCAAACTGAAAAGTACTACACAAACTGAAATTAAAATGAGCTGAATTGAACCAAAATATTTAAAGCAGACTACATTTCAAATGCATTATTCAATTTTCTTATTAAGATTTATACCTGACTACGGTGTTCAATAGAATTTGATTCTTTGCCAGTTTTAAGTTCCAATGGCATTATCTTATATTTTGTTTTATACCCGCGATGTATTTTCACACCAACCGTAACATCTATTTTGCCTTTCAATCCAAACCTAGGGGACCAAATGCTTTCTTCAATATCCACTGAGTTTACCACTTCAATGCTACATGTTGAGTTATTCTTACCACCGTTACTTGGCCTAAAGGAAAAAAAAAAACAATTAGAACAGCTTATTTCACATCTGCTAGCTCTGACTTGCTACTACACACAGAGAATGCAGGGATGGGAAAGAGCCTACACACCTTTATGGTAGTGACTCTCAAAGTGTGGTCCCTGGACCAGCAGCAACAGCACCACCTGGGAATTTGTTATAAACACAGATCCTCAGGCCCAGCTCCAGACATACTGAAATCGAAACTCTAAAAACCTAGCAATCTATTTAACAACCTTTCCATGACTGTAATGCACACCTGAGTTTAAGAACCACTGTTCTATAGGCTCTGACTTATGTAATTTAATTGTTCTTAATGTTCATTATCTGTCCCTTTCAGTTCATTCCTACTACAATCTTAACTCAGGCCCTTATTTCCTCAGGCCTAGATGACTGCAACGGTCTCACTACGTAGATTCCTAAAGCCACAATTCCAATCTGAGGATTTTCATATATAATTATTACACGAATTAATATGTAAATGGTTGCATGTGGTTGCACCCTAGTGTAACAAGGAATATGTTCCTTCGTGTAACGCCATATTAACTCAGGTAAGAATGAGCTGTCTCCACCATCTAGGAAGCGCAGGGCTTGTTCATCTAATACTTCATCCACATACCCCCATGTGACAATCTTTAGAGGAGCTAATGGCTACTCCCACACGTCTCAATTACTTTCTTAACTTAATAATTAAATGAATCTATCTCTGCCATCATCAATATTTAAAATAAATAGTCAATATTGTTTTTTATATTATCAAAGAAGTTCCAACTTTTAATATTTTAACTGTTAAATAAGCCTTGAGGACAGAAAGGATAAAAAAGGGAATATATAAATGTTAAAAGAATTAGAAGGGATGGAAATAACTTTTAAAACCTCTTATACCTCTCATGTAAGATTTACTCATTTTCACAGCAGTTACAGTTATTCTGCAGAAGGGATTAGAACAAAATTCAGGTAAGAGCTACCTCTTATTTATTAATCCTCTCTGCCAGCAAAATATTTTAAACTTTCAGATTCAAAGCCATATAAAATACTAAATCTAATGGAAATTTTACATGAAGGGATAAATTTTCTAGTAATAAAACATTTTATAGCATATCAAAATCAATATTTTAAAAAGTATAATAATTCTAGCTGTAAGAATATATAATTTAGTTGCTTTTGGTTTACTAGTTTCATGTTATTCAGGTCAGCAGCTATTCCTAAAATGATAGTACTTTCTGAAGAAAAAATGCTATTTTCAATAATTTTTCTTTAAGACACTGTTTCAAGACGCTTCAAATATAATCTCCAACAATACATATACTTTTATATTCATATAGAATGTATGTTCTATATATGTAGGATATATATATACTTCAAAGGAACAATCTTTGAAGAAGACAATAGTGGATTTCAGAGATGACGCAATTTATCTGAAGTTTCTGAAATGTACTTATTTAACTTATTGAAACAGGGTCTCTGTTGCCTGGGCTAAAGTATAGTGACATCATCATAGCTGACTGCAACCTCCAACTCCCGGGTTCAAGCAATCCTCCTGCCTCAGTCTCCCAAGTAGTTGGGACTACAAAAGCACGCCACCATGCTTGGCTAAGTTTTCTATTTTGTGTAGAGACGGGGGTCTCGCTCTTACTCAGGCTGGTCTCAAACTC